GACGGCAGTGTGTTACGAGCACCCAACCGACGCACAGATCGACAACCAAATAATGAAACGTCAACTCCCAAAACTCTCAAGTAGCAACCTTCGAAATACAAGCAATTATCGATTTAGCGCCATTAACTCCTAATCCAGGGGTTGTAAGTCTCACCTTACGCCGACTCATATCAGGGCCTCCGAAACTGGCTATCTCGAGAATCCACAGTGAAACAGCAGTGAAACAAATCACAAATCGAATAATACGAGTTTAAACTGGCCAGAAAATACACAAATACTAGAGCATACCTGGTACACGCGAGTAGGTCTGGCACGGAATCCCCCAACGCCGAGGTTACGATGACGACGGGCCACCGCGTTATCCTAATCCGCTGTGTCGCCAGACAGGACAGTGTAATTGTAGACACTGCAAGAATCCGATGCGTTAGTCTGTCTGAGTCTGATCTGACCTAAGCGACCGAGCAACCGGTCTGCGCTCTACAACTCAGATTCACGAATCAGAATTCCGACGTGTCGCAGGTTTGCAGTCTGCATCAAATAAGACACTAACATCGGCCTGATTCGAAGCTGCCAGGCAATTACATCGCACTTACCAGTTAATTACTAAGCAAGGATACATCCGAAATTCCAGATATCCATTGAGACATTGTACTTGCAGCCCACCATCACTTTGGGAGTTCGTTAAAATCGTGACTGCATGCACGTGTTGATGTTGCGTTGGCGTTCAAAGCAACTTGAGCCGAAATCAAATGGTTTAGTTTCACTTTGTCTTTGCTGCTTCAGACGAATCTTTATTGGTTTAAAGTCACAGTGGATGATTTCATTTCGATGCAACTTGTCCAAACAAATGAGGATGGAGTGTGCAAATTTGCTGACTGAGGGGAGAGGGAAGCCTTGAAATTTATTTCGTCTAATCAACTCGCAGGGGTTCATGTTGAGCTGCTTAACGTCATGCAAACGTGCTCACGGAAAGTGAAGTGCTTTCGCAAATGCACCACGTTGCGGCTATTGTCTAAGTCCTGGTCTCGAAGCAGTTCCGAAGTGCGAATCTCTTCTGCCGCCTGTTTCGTGAATCTGCTCTCATTTCGCACCATTTTTAGGCCGACAAATGTGTTGGTCATTTGGTCAAATGCTTTCACCACCTGACCGAAACTACCCTTTCCAAGAATCTTCAACACCTCGAACCTGTAGGCGACGTAGTCGTGAGGGGTGTGGATGTACGAACCTTGGTCATCGTCCAAACCGTAATTCTGTCCACTGCCAAGAACAACTTAGCAGTTCCAGAATTGACGTCGGCTCCGTTTCACACTCGAACCATAGGCGGATTGGCCTCATTCCTAACAGTCGATGGAAGTGAATTCCTTTGGTTTGGCGATGATCAGAATGGGCTTCTACTAGCAGGTAAGGTCCGATTCGGAACTCGGTTTTAATCGACCAAGTGAACCGTCAGACCTCTGTTGGCGCAGTTTGCATTAAGAAAACCGCCGGACTGGCTATTGTTCGAGGACGTGCTGCTGACTCAGCCCTTGTGAATGTGATCACAGTAAACGTGGGAGAGGGTGTAGCCTTCGTTGGCTGGCTGATTTAAAAACGAGGTGCCACTTAGAGCTGGTGCTTTTATGTCAGTGCCTGTCATCGATCCCATTGCTATCTTTCTGGTTTGATTGGCGTTATTCGAGTAGTTAGAAGATCCAAAGAGAAAAGAAACCATCAAAGGTGTGTGCTTTACTTGCTCAAGAATAGTGGCGCCGTTCAAAACTGACGAGTCGATCGGAGGTAGCCGAGTTACAAAGAAGGCCTTTTTCAATATGCTTATAGAAGACCTGGATAAAATTCAAGCGTAATGTTGAATCATGGTCTTCTTGTGTCTCTATTGTTTGTTTCTACCATTCATATGGAGTTCGGCTATAAAAGTAAAAGTACAAGTTGTACACTGAAGCAGATGCGGGGAAATAAATTCAAGTTGAGTAGAGTGACAAATTGCTACACAAAGCAAATGCTCTACAGATTCCACCACGTACTTTTACATGAAGCTCTCTTCTTCTTATTTTAACTTTGCCTACATTGCAACACTTCTCGGAGCCTTCCGTCAGCCAAAAACTACTCTTCTGCTATTAAATAACAATTGCAAATGCAATCCAAAGCTTTTCCTCAGAAGAATAAACTGATGATTCATAGACACAACCACTCATCACCGCTTCGTTAACCATCTTTAAGCATATGCGATCACCAATTACCACAGGGAGATTGAAGAACTTCAAAATCTATTATTTATACTGCACGAATCCACGTGCATCAAAATCTGCAAATTTCACAAATGAGCAGACCTCTAGGCCCAATTTCACCAGAGTTCGACTTCCAAATATCTAACCCTTTTTTCAAATGGCACGTTAAATCAAGTTCCCAAAAGGTTTCGCCTGAGGACTGTGAAAGCTGGGAGACAAGTGAAGTCGTTGTAGACTGATTCGTGCTTTTTGATTCATGTCAAGTTCTTCAGTTCAGTGTGGGTTTTTTGAAAAACTGGCAAGGGTCAATCACGGCATAAACCTCGGCAGTAAACTCCTGAATAATTTGGTGTGCTTGCATTTGCAAGATTGCAAGATGCGTTTGGTAACTACCTTAAAAGTGGTGCAAGTGCCAAAACCAGCGTCCAATGCCTATAGATAAGCAGTCTATTTCTATCTTAAGAAACAAATCGGAGGACCTTCAATACGGCGAAAATGAAATGTCTGAATATGGAAATACAATTTTTTGTAAAATTAACTTTATTTATAAATTCAAAAATGCAACAAAATGACTGCAGATTTGTTCTGAATCAGTAAAATGCAACGACTACCGCTGTCCCTATGCTAAGCAACAATGCTTTCTTTAAGTATTCAATGCTGCTGTAGTTATGGAAACAATCCCCTGGGTATTACTGTATGTATTTTTAAAACAAGTGTAAATGTACAGATGGGATTGATCCTAACCAAATTCACACGGATACACGTTGCAACGCATCCAACCTGCTTCCGAAATTTCGTAAACATTAGGTTATAGTGTCGAACAACATTGATTAAACGATTAGAAAGTAAATACGAGAGGAATGGCAATGAATGCACGCAACACCAATAAAAAGGGGTCAAAAATTCTCAGTATTAATAGATAATATTATCTTACCAAGCCCTTCATAGTAACATCAGATACATTGTTACATCTTGTACTACTAGTTCTCAATTGGTAAAGGAGACACGCAGCGTATTTTCTGGAAAGTGACATAGGGAAGGTTCAGAAAATTACCGTAAAATGCTTATAAATGCACAAAATTAAATCCCTTGGTCTTTGCAATTAAAACAGTCATCCTTTTTGATAATGAGAAGATCAGAAAAATTAAATTAACAACTACGTGAAATTTACGCTTATTTAGCGATGTCAAAATAGGCGCCTGTCATATTGGCAACGACGGCGTCACATAAAGGTCGACAAACAAGAAAAGAAAAGAAGGCTACGATATTTACCTCAACTTAAATGGCCCCACTAGGCAATTAAAATGCAAACCTATCTACCATACAGTAGTAGAAAGAAACTAGCAACATTTTGGGCTGCATTATTTGTTTTAAGGTAAATATATCCCAATATAGATTCCCAGATAAATAACTAAATTAGAAAGGGGACTTCACTAAATGTGTTGTGATACCAAAAAAAACACTAAAGTATAATTATGCAGATATGTTCGTTTTTGAAATAATACGTAGTTGGGTGATAGACTAAAATTACATTATTGTAAATCGTAAAAATATTTCTGATTGAGATATTACGCAACATATATTTAGAATAAGCACACAATTCCATTGGATACTCTTTTTAGTTCTTCTGCACATTTTCACATTGAATGAATTAAAGTAATATTTAGCCATTCACAAAATCTGCATTTGCAAAAATTGCATTGAAAGTTCCTTTCCCTCAAATGATGTAAAAAAATCGTAAAAAAACAACATTAAAATATTTAGCAAACTGCCATATACAAAATTAAATACTTTCGTCTTTGCAATTGGATCAGTATTCCTTTTTGACATCGGCATTTGAGGTGGTGGGAGGCAATCAAAGCCACTGTGATGTCACTTAGTTCTACATACTGCCGATCATTCCAGCCAGCACTCATTCCACTGTCCTGATGGCCATGGTTTGATCATCTTCACGAAGAACAGTCTGTAGTGGCGTGACAGCCATCTCGCGTGAGTGATGCGTGCACGAGGGCCCGAGTGCACCAATGACCCACCCTTTTTCTTATTGGCCTCTGTCAGCAGTCGCCTGTTACGCACGCGTACTCATGCGCACACTA